GGTGGCCGGGAGCGGCCGCTGCACTCCAGTCTGGGCGACAGCGTGAGACTCCAACTCAAAAAATAATAATAATAAAATAAAATAAAATACAATTTGCTGGAAGAGACATGGCAATTCGTGGTTATAAGACTGACCTCAGGAGCTGGGCTGCCTGAGTCCTGTCCTGAATGGGCACTGGCCTTCCTGTGTGACGTGGGGAAAATGCTTCACATCTCTGTGTCTCAGTGTCCTCCCCCTGACGAATCCTGATAGCACTGAGAATTCGTGGGTGCGGGGCTTGGGGGAGGTCCCGAGGGGTCAGCAGGGGTGCAGGCTCAGAGCCGGCCCCGGCACACGGCCAGTGCCCCACACACGGTGGCCTGCCAGCAGCCACTGGGCCACGCCTGCGCCCGCCCCAGTCCCACCCTCTTTTGCAATGGGTCTCACTGTCCTTCGCAAATGACCAGATGGACACCGCCACGTCCCCAGGCACATGGTTCTTTAGGGGCTGGACCCACAGCCCAGTCCCCGTGGCAGGGTCCAGGCCAGACGTGTCTCTGGGTGGACCCTTCCCAGGCTGTCTCAACAAGGAAGATTCAAAGGGAACAAAAACCATTCGTTGTCTTATGATTTTAGAAGTCGATCTAGAATGTCCTTTCCGGCCAGGCGCAGTGGCTCACGCCTGGAATCCCAGCACTTTGGGAAGCTGAGGTGGAAGGATCACTTGGGCCCAGGAGTGGGAGACCAGCCTGGGCAACATGAAGAGACCCCATCTCTACAAACAAAACAAAAGCTAGCCAGCCATGGTGGCGTACGCCTTTAGCCCCAGCTACTTGGGAGGCTGAGGCAGGAGGATCGCCTGAGCCCAGGCGGTCGAGGCTGCAGTCAGCCCTGATGGTGCCCTTGCACTCCAGCCTGGGCGACAGAGGGAGACCCCCAACTCAAAAAAGAAAGAAAGAAAGAAAAATAGAATGTCTCTCTGACTGGGGAATGCCGGGAAAGGAGCTGGTCCCTTGGGTTCCCCAGAATGGGCCACCCGAGTCCCCCAGCCCACCAGGGCTTCTTCTGGGAGGGGTCACCTCAGGGGAGGGAACCCCTCCACATAGTCCGGACCCTGAGTTTGAGCCCTGAGGCCAAAAGATGCGGGCGTCCAACCATTTGGCCGTGTGCTGAGTCTAAGACTCTTCAGGCCAAACTCCCCAAGCCGTGAGAGCTCGGTGGCCGCCCACCGTCGCCCCAAGTGGCAGTGGCCTCCCACAGCCCCGCCCCCATGTCCCCTCGGTCGTTCACCTCCATCCTGGTTCTTAAGAAAAGTGTCTCAGGCGGCCGGGTCCTCTTCCTTGAAAAGCAACTGAAGTAATGAAAACTTTGTGTTTTTGTTTTTATTTTCTGGTTCCCCGAAGGAGGCCGTCAAGGTTTGGAAATTTCTGTGGCTCCTCTCTCTTGCCTAGCCTGTCTCCCTGGGAGAGGGACCGTCTCTTGCGTCTCCTGTGTCTGTTCCTCCACCGCCGGTGGGGTCTCTGCTTTCTCTGAACCTCAGGCTCTTTCTTAACCCGATCTTCCATTCCAGCCCCTTCGCTGACCCGCTCCGGCCTCTCCTGAGGCCCGGTGCTTCTGGTGCGCCCGCGCTTGCTGACACTGGCTGCGTCTCTTCCAACCCCCACGGCTCAGAATGTTCTGGGGCCAGTTCATGGCTGGGCGCTCCCTGCAGCCCGGCGCTGGCTTATCCGCTTCCAGGACATGGAGGCCACGTGCTGCGGCCTTCCCCGTGGGCCGGGGCTCCTGAGAAGCGAGAATCTGGGCTGCTCACCAGACCAAATGCAGAGAGCTTTAAATTGGAAACGTGGGCCAGGCGTGGTGGCTCACACCTGTCATGCCGGCACTTTGGGAGGCCGAGGCAGGAGGATTGCTTGAAGCCAGGCGTTGGAGACCAGCCTGGGCAACAGAGCAAGACCCCGTCGCTAGAAAAATAATAACAGTAAATTGGAAACATTATCAGCTGCCAGCTGTGAACTAGCCCCAAAGAGCACCCAGGGCAAACGTACAGACTATGCTTAAACTAAGTCTCATCTTGACTCGGTTTCTCTCACAGGATCATCCCAGAGCCGAATACGAAGCCAGAGTCCTGGAGAAATCTCTGAGGAAAGAGTCCAAGAACAAAGAGGTATGGTGCGGCTGCCACCGGTCAGCTTCCCCTTCTGGAAAAAAACTTTTTTCTCAGCCGTGTAGACCGTGGTCAGCCTGGACAGCAGGTATTTGAGGCTCTGTACGCCTCTGTCAGGGTGAGATTAGCCATCGACAGCAGCTAAACAGAGGGGCCTGTGTGCCAATAAAACTTTATTGATAAAAACAGGCAAGGGGCCAGACTTGGCCCCAGGGCTTTCGTATATCAAACCTGCTAGAGATCGCTCTTCTGGACGTGTCCTGACATGATCTCAAGCCTCAGCGGGCATTCCAGCAGCAGGACTGGGTAGCTGGGAGGCCTTTGGGCGGGACACGTGCCAGCCATCCCGTCTGCCCTTCGTGGTCCAAGTCAAACAGCAAAATGACTGTCCAACCCAACCCCTGAACCACTGGCCAGTTCCACGTTTCACAGAGAAGTGTTGTTTTGTATGTCATTATATTGACTTATTTTGCGGAGACGGAGTCTCACTATGTTGCCCAGGCTGATCTCAAACTCTTGGGCTCAAGCAATCCTCTCACCTCAGCCTCCCAAAGTGCTGGGATGACAGATGTGAGCCACCACACACCTGTTCTGTGTGTTCTCGAAACCCTCATCTTTTTATATTAAATGCCTTTTTTTCCCCTAAACCTGTCATTCAAATGAGCTGTCCCGCGCGCAGCCTGAATTCTCGCCAACACCCCAGCTGGAGGTGCAAGCGGTTTCTCAGGAAGACCCTTCCCGTGCCAGTCTGGGGTGTGGCTGGGCCCCCCTGCCACCAGGAAGGGCGCCCTCCTGGACACCCCGTGGAGTCTAGTGGGATCTGAGGGTGTGGGGAACAGAGCCCCAAAGTGGGCATCACCGTCCTCACCCAGAGAGGCCATCGCCCCAGGCCATGCACGCCAGCGTGCTGTTCCTAGGGCCAGGGAACCCCTTCCCTCCTGGTAAGGAGAGGCCCAGACCCTGCCACCCCTCAGGCCCCGTGGACCTCCAACGTGTTTTCAGGACGGCATCCCCGGCTCTGACCCGGCCGGCGATGTCTCAGGACTCAGCGTGCACCCCTTGTGAGGTCCAGCTGAAGCTTTGTGTTTTCACCTGTTGGCCTGAGCCTCGATGGGTATTTCGTGTCTCCTAAGGGGGAAACCAGCCTTGTGCACGCACTGTGTCCCTTCCAGATGAGGGACTTTACCACTCCTAATCGGCAGATCCAGCCAGGGGCGCCGGAGGCCACCGCCCAGGACACACAGCCCCTCTGATCTGTGGCCCTGGGCTGGGTCTCGGTCTGGGCTTTGGTCACAGGAAATCAGCAAAAACATTGGGTTCATTCCTGCAGGGCCCGAGGGTGGCCCAGCACTGTCTGCTTCTTCCTCTGTCCCAGCGGGCCTCCGGCTGCTTTGTGGTTTTGACTTTTCCCCCAGCCATGGCACTAAATTAGTTTATTTAAAACAATCCATGATTTTGTTGGCATATTCGCTTGGGCTTTGGTGTGGTGGTGAAATGCTGGTGGTGACCCGTGTCTGTGCACACTACATAATCTGGGGACCCTGCAGCTGGCCCCTGGGATGGGGCGTGACCAGGCCCCAGGGAGCTTGTGCTGATATGGGTTTTTCTCCCTCCCTCCCTCCCTCCCTTCTTTCTTTCTTTCTTTCTTTTTTTTTTTTTTTGAGTCGGAGTCTCACTCTGTCGCCCAGTCCGGAGTGCAGTGGCCGCTCCCGGCCACCGCAGTCTCGACCTGCTGGGCTCCAGCGATCCTGCTGCCTCAGCCTTCCAAGTAGCCGGAATTACAGGCGCGTGCTACCACGCCCGGCTGATTTTTTGATTTATTGTAGAGATGAGGTCTCGCCGCCCAGGCGGGTCTCGAACCCACGGGCTCAGGCAATCCACTCACTTCGGCCTCCCAAATGCGCGGGATTACAGGCTGAGCCACCGAGCCCGGCTTCTTTCCTTCTTTCCTTCTTTCCTTCTTTCCTTCCTTCCTTCTTTCTTTCTTTCTTTCTTTCTTTCTTTCTTTCTTTCTTTCTTTCTTTCTTTCTTTCTTTCGAGTCAGAGTCTCACTTGTCCAAGCTGGAGGGCAATGGCACGCTCACGGCCACCCCAGCCTCGACCCGCTGGGCTTCAGCGATGCTCCCACCTCAGCTTTCCAAGGAGCCAGAACTACAGGCGCATGCCACCACACCCGGCTAATTTTTGATTTATTGTGGAGATGAGGTCTTGCCAAGTTGCCCAGGCTGGTCTCGAACCCACAGGCTCAGGCAATCCACTCGCCTCCGCCTCCCAAAGTGCTGGGATGACAGACTGAGCCACCAAGCCTGGCCTCTTTTTTTTTTTTTGAGGCAGGGTCTCATTCTGTCGCCCAGGCTGGAGTGCAGTGGCACCATCACGGCTCACTGCAGCCTCAACCTCTAGGTCTCAGGTGATCCTCCAGCCTCAGCCTCCCAAATAGCTGGGAATACAGGTGCATGCCGCCACACTCAGATCATCTTTTTTATTCTTTAGAGACGGGGTCTGGCTGTGTTGCCCAGGCTGGTCTCAAACTCCTGGCTTCAACCAGTTCTCCCACCTCGGCCTCCAAAGGGCTGAGATTACAGGGGCAAACCACCATGCCCAACTGAGTTTTGTAGAGACGCGGTCTCACTATGTTGCCCGGGCTGATTTTGAACTCCTGGGCTCAGGTGACCCCCCCGTCTCGGCCGCCCTAAGTGCTGGATGCTAGGTGTGAGCCAACGTGCCCAGTCCTGGAGTCCCAGTTTCGACCTCCGTGTCCATGACCTTGTAGAATGTGGGCCTCTGCCTTCTCCTATTTACCCAAAACGCCTAGACCCGAAATCAGCCTTGGCGGCGGGCCTGGGCACCGGGGACCCAGACCCTGCCACGGAGGAGACGGCCCCCTGGGCCCCGGGTCTGTAGATGGCCCCTAACCATGCCTCACCACACGGTGGTCTCTCTCCCCCCACCCTCCCTCAGAAGCGCCGGCATGTCCCCGAGGACTCAGCAAACGCATGGAAGAGAAGGGTTAAGACAGCCATGGCGGGGGTGAAATTGGTACTTTCCCTAGGGGGTATCGCGCCTCTTGACTGTCTCAAACGATCCAAGCCGATCGTGTTTCTCCCCAAAAAGCTCTGTTCTGTTTTGTTTTTTTAACACACACCCCGTCTCTCCGTCCCCTCCCGCACCCGTGAGCCCGGCGTGTGAAGCTGGCACTGCATGGCTGTGGCACGTCCTGGGGGGGTCACCCCCGCACCCCGGGGAGCTCGTGAAACGTGCTTGTCACAGCAGTCCTGGGTCCCCTCGTGAACCCGCATGCCACCCGCCCCTGGAATGAGCGGCCCTGCTGTCACGTCCCTGACTGTGTCCTCGCCCTGCGACGTGCATTTGCCTGTCGAAAACTCTGCCCCCCTTGGAAACATCCCAGGAGAATGCCCCGTGTCTCCCTGAGGTTTCTCCAGACCAAGCCAGCCCCGGTCCCCGAGAGCCATCAGGCCGTGTGACACCACCGGCGACGTTCTAACTGGTCGTGCCCGTTGCTTGTGGCGACAAAGGAAAAATAACTATTATGGGCTGGGTGGCAAGTGGCAAGGCGTCCTGGATCTTCCTCCCTGGAAGTGAGACTTTCCACGAAGGAAACGGGCTGGAAGGCAGGGGCTCTTGAGCCTTGAGAGGGGCACTGGCGGGACCATGCCAGGGACAGAGGCAGCTCGTGTGCCAATGGCCGCCGCGTCCACGAGGACATGACATTATCTCCCAGCTGCCTAGGCCCCAGGTGCTTCTTTGAGCGCTGGCCATTGGCGCTGGCTTGTCACCGTTTTTAAAGCATTGTCTGAGCATTTCTGGGGTCCAGCTTGTCCACGAGCACGCACGCACACACGACATTCGTGTCCCGCCGTGGTGGCCCCGTGCGTGACTGGCTTTGTCTCGTGTATAGACCGACAAGGTGAAGCTGACCTGGAGGGACCGGTTCCCGGCCTACTGCACCAACTTGGTCTCCATCGTGTTTATGGTGAGTTCTGGAAGGCTATGGGGGGAGGGGTTGGGGGTGTCAGAGATGCCCTCAGGGAGGTGACCGGCGCCCGTGGAGCCCGGGCTGAGCCCTGAGATTCCACCAGCACCCCCCAAATAGGAAGAGACCCAAGGGGGTACGTGAGATGGCTTCAGGGGGTCCCTCACACGCGCAGCTTTCATTCGGAGAGTGACACGTCCCTTTAAGTGACCCGTCATCCAGTCTCAGGATTCCAAAGGTTTCATTCAAGACGAAGCTGAAGAGGTTTTAGGAAAACCATTCAAGTGGCTGTGCACAGTGGCAGAAGCCTGTAGGGCCAGTGAGTTGGGAGGCTGAGGCGGGAGGATCGCTTGAGCCCAAGAGTTTGAGATCGGCCTGGGCAACATAGCAAGACCCCATCTCTACAAAAAAAATTCTTTTTAACAAGCCAGGCCTGGTGGCATGCACTTGTAGTCCCAGCTGTTTGGGAGACGGAGGTGGAGGATCGTTTGAGCCCCAGAGGTCAAGGCTGAGGTGAGCTGTGATTGTGCCACAGCACTCCAGCCCGGGCGACAGAGTGAGACCCCGACTCAATAAGTCAATAACTAGCACAGAGACAGAACAGGATACGGGGGGTTGCTCAGGAAAGCCCAGGCCTGTGACAGCTGACCCCGTGGCGCCGGGGGGGATGTCCGTCCCAGGGACTTCTGCTGCGTCCCCAGGCTGGCTGTGTCTCTGTCACCCTCAGGTGGTCAGGGCCACCAGTGGTCACGTGGGAAGTGCCTGTGCCCTCATCCGGCCCTGTCGCCTGGTACCCAGGGACCCCGGACAGCTTGTACCGGGGGTTAGCATGTACCCAGCCTGCTGCTGTTCTGGGGAATCTGAGCGGGTGCGCACTCAGGGCCGCATGTCCCCACCAGCCGGGCCCAGGCTCTGTGCTGAAGGGGGACGGGAGCAGGTCCTGGTCCCCGTCCTGGGACTCGGGAGGCCAGAGGCTCGGGCAGCCATGTCTGCCCTGAGGCTCACCAGCTCCCGGCGAAGACACAGCCATGGACGGGCCAGTGGGAGCAGGCAGAGGAGGTGGGCCTCAGTGGTGCCATCAGAGTTGCCGGCCTCTCTGACCTCTGCCTGCCCGTCCTGGGTGTGGGTCCCTCTTGGCCATGCTTTTTTTTATGGCGTTGGGGTCTCCCTCTGTAGCCCAGGCTGGAGTACAGTGTCGCCCTCCCGGACTCGGCAATCCTCCCGCCTCGGCCTCCCGAGTAGCTGGGACAACAGGCCCACGCTACCACACCCGGCGCATTTTTTGATATTTTGTAGTGACGAGGCCTCGCTGTGTTGCCCAGGCTGGTCTTGAGCTCCTGTGCTCAAGCGATCCTCCTGCCTCGGCCTCCCAAAGGGCTGCGATTGAGATGCTTTCCCAGGACACTAGGGAGGCTGAGAATGTCTTGAGCATTTGGTCTCTCAGCACTGGGGATGATGGAGGGAGGGCAGAGGGGTGCTGGGGAGACCAGTCAGGGCTTCATTCCATGATCCGGGGTTGGCTGGCACCGACAAGGTGCCCCCCCGGCCCTGAACACCCTGGGGTGGCCACGCCGCCGAGCCCCAGCCCTTGGGAGATTGTGTCCGGGCAGGGAGACTGCTGGGGGGCCGCGGGCCTCGGGTAGGGCCGGGGAGCCCGCTGGGTGGGGGCCTCCCTTGACACGTCACCCACATCTGGCTCAGGGCGTGGGGCGGTACCTCTCCCGGGGCGAGGCCTCTTGGCAGGACCGAGGGGTTTTCCGAGGAAAGCCCTCGTTTCCAGAGCTGGCCAGGGAGTGGTCCTGCAGGGCTGCGCCCCCGCCCCGGGTGTGGCATGGGCTGCCGACGTTTTCCCGGGCGGGGCGCACACACCGGTTAGTCACCGGTCCCTTCTGCAGACGCCAGGCTTCACGGGGCATGGCGGGAGTTGAGGGCCCACAGTTGAACATGAGAGCTTTTCCTGAAGGCTGTGGTCTCCCTCTGGGGTGGACACACCCCACCCGTCCCGAGCTGCACCAGGGTGGGGCCCCTGGGAAGTGGCCGGGAGGGTGGCACTCAGCCCAGCACGATGTCCGAGGGTGTCCCTGCTTCCAGGAGCTCAGGGCAGCCCGGGGTCAGGGAGAAGCCCCCTCCAGCAGCCGGGATGGCCAGCAGGGTGGTGGCCGTGCCGTGTCTTGTGCTCTGCTTAGGGACGGGGCTTGGGCTTCTCTGTCGACGTGGTGGGAGGGGCTGGTGTCCACCGCGCAGCCCTGGTCCCGGGAGCCACATGTGACCGTGCAGCTGGGACAGGACTCGCCCTCTGCACCCGTGCATGGGAGAAAAGTGCGCTGTCCCGGGACTCGGGGACACCGGGTGACAAGACAGAGCCCACGTGCTGCAGGCGGGGTCACACGGGGGCTGCCTGCCTGCCTCAGGGCGGGCTCAGGACGGGGCATCCAGGCTCCTGGACAGGGCAGGGCGGGGCCTGGGTCTTCTGGGAAGAGTTAGGCCCTTGAGGAAAAGCAACCAGACACACAGCGGTGGGTGGAACGATCCTGTCACGTAGCTGGCTCCCACCCCAGGCTCACTGCCAGCCCGGGATTTATGGAATGTTCTGGTTCCAGGGTGGTTCGGGCACGAGGGGGCCTCTCTCTCTCTCGTGGAGGAGCCGAGGGGGGTTGCCGGCTCCTGGGGGGGAGAAGGGTCCCAGCTCTGCCCCGCCCGGACCCTGCCCCCTCTGTTGACCGGTGGCCCCTGGGAGGTGGCCGGGAGAGTGGCACTCAGCCCGGCATGCTGTCCAAGGGTGTCCCTGCTTCTGGGAGATCAGGGCGGCTGAGGGTGGGAGAGAAGCCCCCACCGGCAGCCAGCCCACTCTGAGACCAGCCGGGATGAATGCCGGGGTGGTGACCGTGCCGTGTCTTGTGCTCTGCTTGGGTATGAGCCTTGGACTCCTCTGCAGACGGGGGCGGCCCCACCTGCCAAATCCCAGCCCCTGTGCACACAGCCTCTCTGAACCTTTGTGTCCTCGTCCATGCGACAGGAGCCAGCCCCTCGCTCCTTGTCCTGGTGGGTGGACACACGGGCAGGTGCCTGGGAAACGTCCAGCTTTGCTTTGCGGCCGGAGAGCCGGAGGGAGCTGCTGGGCCAGGCCCCCAGGGCCGGGGGGTTGGGGCGGCCCTGGCTAAGAGTGACCCCTCCCACAGATCGCAGTGACATTCGCCATCGTCCTGGGCGTCATCCTCTACAGAATCTCCACGGCCGCGGCCCTGGCCATGAACTCCTCCCCCTCTGTGCGCTCCAACATCCGGGTCACGGTCACAGCCACAGCGGTCATCATCAACCTGGTGGTCATTATCCTCCTGGACGAGGTCTATGGCTGCATCGCCAGGTGGCTGACCAGGATCGGTGAGCGCCTGCGTACCGGTGGCCGAGCCCCAGGGGGACCCCGCGCCTGGCCGCCCTCGCGCTGTGCAACCCAGGGCTCGTCGCTTAGCGTCTCTGGACCCAGCTCCTGTCTGTGAATGGGGATCCTGAGCGCCGGCCCCAGGGCCCCTGTGGGATCCTCCTGAAGGGTGGGGCGGGCGCCTCAGCCTCTCCCCTCCTCCCCCACCCCCCAGAGGTCCCAAAGACGGAGAAGAGCTTCGAGGACAGGCTGATCTTCAAGGCCTTCCTGCTGAAGTTCGTGAACTCCTACACACCCATCTTCTACGTGGCTTTCTTCAAAGGCCGGTAGGGGCTTCCTCAGCGTCCCCGGCGTCCCCTCCAGGACCCGGGAGGCGAGGGAGGTGCCAGGAGGGAGGCCCGGGTGGCGCGGTCACTGTGGAGAGGGCTGGCTCCCAGTGAGCTCCCAGGACAGCGGCGATGCCTGCTGGAGCCCGGGGGCTGGGACGCGGGTGGTGGGGACCCGGGCAGGGAGCCCAGGCAGTGGGGAGTCCAGGCGGTGGGACCCAGGCAGCGGGGACCTGGACGGTGGGAAGTCCAGGTCGTAGGACCTGGGTGGCGGGGACCCCAGACAACGGGGACCCTGGGCAGGGAGGACGTGGACAGCGGGGACCCCTGCAGGGAGTCACAGCAGCTGGTTCTGGCAGGGGGACCATCTGGAGCCACCAGGCTGTGGAGGGGCCTGCGCCCACACCCCGTGACGCCCACCCCCCGTCCCTCCTGCCAGAGTCCCATCTCAGAGGCCACACCCCGCAGGTCCCCGGAAGGCGAGAGGTGGTCTGTCTTGGGCACCACCCACCCCAACTGGACAAGGTCCCCAGTGTGGCTCTGTGCCAGCCCCCCGACCGTCCATGCGGGTGGCACATCCTAAGCTCCAGGCAGTGGGGATGTAGGTGGCTTCAGGCCCTGGTCCCTCCGGGTCCTCTTCCCTCTGCCTCAGGGCCTCAAGGTTTCCTGCTGAAGTTACTTATTTTGTTTCGTTTTGTTTCCTAGAGACCAGGCCTCGCTGTGTTGCCCGGGCTGGTCTCGAACTCCTGGGCTCCAGCGATCCTCCCGCCTAGGCCTCTCAAAGTGTTGGAATGACAGACGTGAGCCACCATGCCTGGCCTTTTTCTTTTTCTTTTGAGTCAGAGTGACGCGACATGGCTCACTGCAGTCTCACCCTCCTAGGCTCGGGCAGTCCTTCTGCCTCAGCCTCCCAAGTTGCTGGGACTACAGGTGCCACGTCCAGCTAATTTTTTGTATTTTCTGTGGAGACGAGGTCTTGCTATGTTGCCCAGGCTGGTCTCAAGCCTCTGGGCTCAAGCAGTCCTCCTGCCTTGGCCTCCCAAAGTACTGGGATGACAGGCGTGAGCCTCCACACCCGGCCTGAAGTTACTTTTTCTTATGCCTCTGGGTTGGGGAACATTCGACCCACAGGAAGCCATCATGGTCATTTTTTTTGTTTTTTGTTTTTGAGTCGAAGCCTCACTCCGTCACCCAGGTTGGAGGGCAGTGGCACGCTCACGGCCACCCCAGCCTCCACCTGCCGGGCTCCGGCCATCCTTCCGCCTCAGCCTCCGGAGTAGCCGGAACTACAGGCGCACGCTGCCACGCCCGGCTCATTTTTTATTTATTGTCGAGATGAGGCCTCGCCAGGTTGACCAGGCGGGTCTCGAACCCGTAGGCTCAGGCAATCCTCTCGCCTTGGCCTCCCAAAGTGCCGGGATGATGGGCTGAGCCGCCGAGCCCGGCCCACCGTGGTCGTTTTTTTCAGCCGATGAAATCAGGCGAGGGGGAAGCCTGGACCTCCACTCAAGCTGAGACTTCCAGCCTCAGAGCACAGCCCGGCACCCCCAGGTGGCCTCGGGAAGCCGCGGACTCCCTCTCACCGCCTCCCCTTCCTTGCAGGTTTGTTGGCCGCCCCGGCGACTACGTGTATATTTTCCGGTCCTTCCGAATGGAGGAGGTAACAGAGCCCCCGCGTCCCTGCAGCCCTTCTGTCCCGCTTACACTGGGTCTGCCCGTCTCCTTCCTGCTGGTGGACACTTCCCCTCTGTCTTCCGGGGCCAGGGGGCTTTGGCCTCCCTCGCTGGCTCCCAGGGACTCCCCCTAGAATGGCCAGGGCTCTGCAGGGCGGATGAAAGTAAGCAATGACATCCAGTTTTCTTTTTTTTTTAGAGACGGGATCTCGCTCTGTTGCCCAGGCTGGAGTACTGCGGTGCAATCAAAGCTCACGGCAGGCTCCAACTCCTGGGCTCAGGCGATCCTCCTGCCTCAGCCTCCCAAAGTGCTGGGATGCCAGGCACGAGCCACCGCGCCCAGCCTTAGGCTTTTTCACTCTGCATCTGCCTGCCCACAGAAGGCCTGGTTAGTGTGCCAGCCGCCTTCTGCCCCTGAGTCACGGCCCGTGGACTTGCTCTCATGGCTGGTGCTGCCATCGGACCATGCCAGGTTTCTGGCCTCTCAGTGGTCCAGGTCTCGGGAAACCAGTCCACATGGCCAACTCACAGAACAATCCAGTTTTTCAGAAAAAAGGGCTGGGCCTTCCTGATAAAGACCCTGGGAAACGAGAGGCGGGGTTGGGGTGGACATCGGGTACAGGGCGACCTGGCCATTGGGAGTGCAGCTGAGAGGTCTAGCCACCCGCATATGGGCCCCTGGGCATCCCAGGACACGGGCCTCAGCCGCAGTGACGGGCATTTGCAGAAAGCCCAAAAACTACTGTTTGCTTTTTACACGACACAGAAGATACCGTGTGAAACCCACTGATGGTTAGAGAAATTATGGGAAGTGAAGGACATAATTGCTTGTATGAACACGGCTCTCCAAGAATGAGTTGAGGCCAGGAGTTCAAGACCAGCCTGGGCAACATAGCGAGACCTCATCTCTACAAAAATAAAAATTAAAAAAGTAGCCAGGTATGGTGGCACCCACCTAGAGTCCCAGCTGTTCAAGAGGCTGAGGCAAGAGGATTGTCTGAGCCCAGGAGGTCGAGGCTGCAGTGAGCTGTGATCGTACCACTGCGCTCCAGCCTGGGCGACACAGCAAGAACCTGTCTAAAAAAAAAAAAAAGAAAAAGAAAGAAAGATGACTCTCCCAGACAATTTTTTTCATGATTGTCTAAAAGTTTTGCTTATGCCAGGGTGGTGACTCACTCCTGTCAACCCAGCACTTTGGGAGGCGGAGGCGAGAGGATTGTCGGAGCCCAGGGGGCGTTTGAGACCAGCCTGGGCAATTTGGCGACACCTCATCTCTACAATAAATACAAAAATTAGCCGGGCGTGGTGGTGCAGGCCTGTAGTTCCAGCTACTCGGGAGGCTGAGAAGGAAGGATGGCCGGAGCCCAGCAGGTCGAGGCTGCGGAGGCCGGGAGCGTGCCCCTGCCCTCCAGCCTGGGCGACAGAGTGGGACATCGACTCAAACACAAAAGTAAATAAATAAGGTTTTGCTTGAGACCCAAAGAGAGAGCACTGTGCCCCAAGGATCGCCCGCCAGCCCTTGGGTCCCCTTTGTTTGGACAAGTTACGTGTCTTGCCCAGCGAGGCAGCTCACCGTCCCCTGCCTGCCTGGTCCCTGGCCGAAGGGGCACGGTCCCACAGACGACAGGGCACAGGCCTCAGACAGGGGACCCTCCGCGTGGCTTGTCAGCTGCACGGGCCCGGCCTGCCATGGCAGCGTGAGGCCCTTGGAGCGGAGAGGGCACAGGCCCCAGGGACAAAGGAAGAGCCTGAGACGTCCCCACCCTGCCCCAGCCTCAGTCCAGCCCTGGTGGCCTGTGGAAAAGGTTTCATCGCTTCCCCGGGCTGCCCCAACAAGATACCACAGCCCGGGCCGCTGAGAGTAACAGAGTTTATTCTCTCTGTTTTGGAGGTCAGAGCCCAGAACCACGGTGTCCGCAGGGCCGTGCACCCTCAGAGGTCCTGGGGAGGTCCTCCCTGCCTCTCCCGGCTTCTGGGGGCTTCTGGAAATCCCTCCCGCTCCTTCACGCCTCCCTCCAGCCTCTGCCTCCTTGTTCACGTGGCTTCTTCCTCCTGTGTCTGCGTGTTTTCTCTTCTTTCTTTTTTTTTGAGTCGGAGTCTCACTCCGTCGCCCAGACTGGAGTGCAGTGGCCGCTCCCGGCCATCGCAGCCTCGATCCGCTGGGCTCCAGCGATCCTTCCGCCTCAGCCTTCCAAGTAGCTGGGACTACAGGCATGTGCCACCACGCCCGGCTAATTTTCTGATTTCTTGTAGAGACGAGGTCTCACCAAGTTGCCCAGGCTGGTCTCAAACCCATGGGCTCAGGCAAGCCTCTCACCTTGGTCTCCCAAAATGCTTGGGATTATTAGTGTGAGCCACCGCACCCGGTCTCTCTTCTTTTTTTTTTTTTTTCTTTTTTTTTTTTAATCCGATCTCACTCTGTCGCCCAGGTTGGAGGGCAGTGGAGCCATCACAGCTCACCACAGCCTCGACCTCCTGGGCTCAGGTGATCCTCCTGCCTCAGCCTCCCACGTAGCTGGGACGACAGGCACGCGCCACCACGCCTGGCTCGTTTTCTGATTTTTCGTGGAGATGGGCTCTCGCTTTGTGGCCGAGGCCAGTCTTGAGCTCCTGGCCTCGAGCCATCCCCCTGCCTCGGCCTCTCCCGTGCTGGGATGACGGGTGCGAGCCACCCTGCCTGGCCTGCTCTCTCTTCTTGAGAGGACCCCGTTCTGGTCAGGGCCCCCCCATGGCCTCACCTTCGCATGGCCTCACCTTCGCACGTCCGCACGAGGCCATGATCCCGGGCCATCGGGGCCAGGGCTTGGGCCCTCCTCTCTCCAGAGGGCACGAGTCCGCCACCCGCAGGGCTGATGCGCTCTCCGCCCGCCCGCAGTGCGCACCCGGGGGCTGCCTCATGGAGCTCTGCATCCAGCTCAGTATCATCATGCTGGGGAAGCAGCTGATCCAGAACAATCTGTTCGAGATCGGCATCCCGTGAGTGGGGGCGGGGAGGGGGCGTCCCGCGG